ACTATAAACCAAATGGTCTCTGGTTCGATTCCCAGTCAGGGCACATGCCTGGGTTGAAAGCCAGATCCCCAGTATGGGGCATTCAAGAGACAACCACACACTGATGTTTCTCTCCCTCTCTCCTTCCCTTCCCCCTCTCTCTAAAAATAAATAAATATTTTTTAAAAATTGAAAAGTGGGAGAAAAAAAGGGAAATGTTTGCTAAACAAGTGTTTAAGGAAAAGTTATAGCAAAGCTCAAGCTGTCTGTAGCCAGACTGAACTTCCTCTTCCTCTTAATGGTAAACCACTAACATTGGTACGAACTTTCCATTCTTGACAATAACATGAATGAAAAGTCTTTCAGCCCCACTGGGTCTATGGTGCAATAAGCAAACCGCATTTCTAATTACTCTTCTGTAATGTAGGTAATGCCTTAAGTGAATTAATCCCATATTTTTTCACAGTATGTCAGTCATTGACATATTTCATATGCACAAATTTAAATAAAAATGTATTGTGTTAATGCTAAGAATTAACAAAGAAATACTTCTAGATTTGCTGGAATTAAGCACATCAAGAGAGGAACCGCCAACATTAGAATTATTGTTCATTTTCTTTACCTCTCAGGAAGCTGGAGAGCCTTAAAACAGGAAGACATAAAGGAGGAATTTTCCCTATCATTCTGAAAATGGTGCTATGAGATACATAAAAAAATTATTCCTATGATTGTTCCTGGATAGATTAATTGAATTTGCAGAATTAATATCTTCTTGAAGCTCCATTACTGTTAAATTTAGGAGTTTTAGATGAAGTATGTGTGTGTTTGTTGTTTTGGTCTACATGAATCGTCAAGGGAGGGTTTTCAGCAAAATTTTAGACAAACAGTTCAGGAGAACTTCTAAAAGGACAATTTAGAGTACTGACAGAGACAGTAAGTGTTAAAGGAATGCTTAGTGCCAATTTTATCTCACACGAACAAGAAACAGTATCAATTTATACTTTCTGATAGCCCTTTTGGGTTCCTTTTTGAATTCTCAACTGGATTAAAGTTTTGATGCATCATGTTTTGAGTTTTTTTATTTACAATTTCTATCCTTCCTTTAAACGTACAAAAGTTTTTAGAAAAACAAAAACAAAAAAGAAGCCCCAGAATTTTACATTTCATTTCAATAACTAACTGTTGTTTTAGAGGCAGCTATTAGAAACTTGTATAATACTTATCAAATGAGAAAATATTGAAAATTCAAAGTGAAGAAGAAAAACATTATACCAAATAGAAATTTATCATCTATTAAAATTTCAGGAAGATCTACATTATCTAAAGCCATTCTGTAATTTTATTCATATATTTTGTGGAGTTCACATATCTTTTTCTTACAGCAAACATAACACTGTAGGCCACAAGAAGCTGCAGTACTATTGTTTAATTAGCAGCAAATTTATATTTTATATCTGGTCAACTGGACAAATAAATAGCCTGCTTCTTTGGATGTGGATGTTTAAAATGTAGTATCACTGCAGCTTCATAATGTGACTGCTATTTTACAGAGCTTATACACACACAAAAAGTATGATCTTTGTCTATATTTTATACAAATACAACAGTAGTTTGTGGATACATTTTAAGTACATGATATACATGATAAGCCACTTGAATTCCCAATATCACAGAATAGCGATTTTAAATGTAATAAAAATATACAAAATTCAGCCTGGAATGCAGATTTTTTTCTTTTCTGTTTTGACTCAAAACTTTATCATTAAGTAGAAAATTTTTAGAATTCTAGTCCAAACACTTTTTCATTAGCTTAAAGTACAATTTCAGCAGTCCAGCTTACGTTCAGGCACGATGCAATCCATTTCCTAATGGATTCCCAGTTTTTGTTAAATTCAAAGGGCTGTTAGTAACATACAGCACATTCTTCACTCTACACTATATTATAACGCACACTTTTCTTTTTGAGTTACAGTCACCTTGTAGACAAAAGCTGGGTTTGTTCTGGTAACATTTGCATGTCCAAGATTTCCTTTTGCGAGTGCACATGAATACATTGCGGTGGGTGGTGTAAAAGTTTGTTAATGACAAATTAAGTCAGTATAAAAATATATTGTACACCTTTACACCTAATGAAGTTCTTTATTCCTATGGATAAAAAAATTCGAGTGAATGAGACAGAGACGTTTGTAGCACCATGAAGAGTTGTATCCCAAGTTACATTAGCAGCATGATCCAACATAAAACTGAAGGAGTGTTTCTGAGAAGATAAACATTCATTCTTGTTCATCTGTACCACTGAAGCTTATATAATGAAGTGTTTTATACATTAGCAATAGTTCTGTGATTTCTAGAGCTAGATAACTTTATCAAAAGACACTGCCTTCCATCCTCAGAGGGTTGATAATGTTGAAGGAGGGGATAAGGGTGATCTAAGCGTGCCTTTTGGTTGGCAGTAGCATCTTGTTTTATATGATCAAAAAGGAGTTCTTAAAGGTGTTTAGCACAAGACTACACAATAACACTCATGTGAATCTATGTAATCGTACAAACTATCTGTGTTGTCAATGTGACTGCTGACACTGAGAAAAATAAGACAAAGTCAACTTAGCCACTCATTTGTCAGAGATAACCATTTGCCATTACTAATGAAGAATACTCAATGTTTAAAAGATCTCCTCCAATGCTACATGGATCTCAATAGGCTAGAAGCAACTTGGGTGAACTGGTATTTTTAAATTTACATACTAGGAAGACAGTGTGTTTTGAGACACGTAAACCTTGTAAAAAATAAACCATTGTAAAACCTTATGAAAAGACACACACTGATTCTGTGCAATATAGCAAATTGATAAGAAACACTGTAAAAATGTACCTGTTTAAAATATCGTCTACCATTTTTGAACACAAAGCATTATATATCAAAGGCCTACATATATATAATCTAATGGCACTTGAAACAAATCATAATAAGTCTTAAAATAAAAGGCATAACCTATAAGTTTCTGTAAAGGTTTAGATTGTTTGAAAGTGCTATATCTTGTAATATATGTAGTATAGAGGTTGACCAAGCTCTATTTTTTAAAAAAAATATTGGCCTATATATGTGTATTGCTTACTAGATAAATGATCCTGAAAATATGTACTCTTTAACATTCAATATTAGCTTAATAAAGCAGTCAGCTCTGGCTCACGTTTCAGTCAGTATATGGTTTTTAAAAACCGCTACTGTCCAAATTAACACAATGTATCACTATATTCCACAAATGACTAAAAATAATAAAGCACAAGCAACAAATAGGCAAAAATAGATAGTTTGGAAGAAACACTAAATGAAATTTAACAGTTGCACAAAGAGTGGTGCATGATCAGCCAGGACAATTGAAGTTTTAAAAAACTGAACTTGGTGATAGGATTTAAAAATGCAAATTTTAAGTGACCAAAAACTAAATACAAAGATGATACTTGCATATAGAAGTGGTATTAATTGCTTACTGTGCCAAGATCCTTCCACAGTCATGTTTCCGTGTCTGGTGACCGAATTTATGTACACGCGCAGAAGTTCAAACTGAATGAGGTTCAATATCTTGTCTGAGGTCCAAATTCTAAACTGAAATATTTTTACTTAATGATAATGCCTTTAAATATATTTTAATTTTTATTATTAGTAGTATTTTTACCAAGCAAAGGCACTAGAAATTTTAAGGATGATGATTCTGGCCACTGGAGAACAAAAACAGCATTGGCAGTAATTATTTTTAATCATATCCAGTTGACCTAAAAACAGATGTCAAATTTTTTCTAGGAAATAAAAGGAGCCAATTCTGTTATATACTTGTTAAAACCATTGTGAAATGAAAACAAATGAGTCTGCCTCATCTTTAACAGAAATTCTCTCCAAAAAGTTTTAGTGACCACTACAGTCAATTTAAAAAACAAATTAGCTCAATTCCCTCTCACTTGGATATGTTATTTTAAGTCGGTGGGCCAGCAACAGGCAAAGTGATCTATGTATGAAAATCAAGACTCTACAATTTTAACACTGGTGCCCTGAAAGATGTGCCTCGATGTATCTGAATTCCATGCAGGGTGAGAATTAGGATAAAAAATATATACATATATGGTGCCATTCTCCATTTCTAAAATGTTTTATTTAATAAATCCTGGTACTCCCTTTTTTATTAGCAGTGAAATACAGCCCTAGTAAGGCTGACTCAGTTCATTAATTTGACTTCTCCTTTTGCACATTTTTTATAAGTAGTGTTTCTAGCCTTGCATTTGTGATTTCTATTTAAAAATAGGTTTTCTATTTATTTGTGCTCTGTCACCAAATTTCTTTTTTCCATTTTTAAAAATGGTCATTAAAGCAATATTGAACACTAATCATTCAACTAATGATTTCGGTAAGCAATCTGTTTCATAGAAACTAAAGGAAGCAGTAATAAAGCAGAGCTAAAAGCCTACTTTCAGAGCAATATTCTCCTAATCAAAAGCTTAGGAGCAGTTTGAAATTTTTAAATGTATTTCCTTATTAACATATATAATTTTAATGCCTTTGGAACACTTTTATAAAATGTAATTTTTAATAATAAAATTTAAATATAAGTATAAAAACTACTGCTCCTAGGATTAAAAAAAATAGGAGCATGATAAAATATCAGGAGCCAAAGTTCCTTAAGAGAGCAACTTTGATTCTATGAAGTGCGATATATGTGTGTGTGGGTATAGATATAATATATAGAGTGAAACCCCCATTTACATTATTACAATTTACATTCCTCCACAAATTATACTACTTCCAAATATTTTAAATAATGCATTATATTCAGTAATCTGCACTCATTTTTTAGAAATTCTTGGTAAACATTGCAATCTGCAGTAATAATTGGCCCTATAAAAGGGGAAAAAAGCTTCCATATAGGGCTGAGTGCTCAACAATTTTTTCTTTTTCTTTTTAAAGAGATACATACTCTTCTATAGTCCCCTCACCCCCGCCCCCCCCCCCACCCCTATGCCTGCCCCAACAGAGAGGCTCCCAAATAAGGTGTTAACAAGTGCTTAATAGGTATGGTTTTTTAGTTTGATGTCCCTACTGATAATTAGAAAAATATGGTAATTTGACATTTCACAAGATTATGGTGAGTGTCTAATATGAGGAAAACCCACAACTACTTTATTCAGTGAACAGAATATTCTTGATTATTTTCATATTTAGATAGTGATTGTTTTACTTTAATTTTTCTCCCTCTAAAAATTCAACTTACTGATTTGCAACATTCCCCGCATTTCCCAGAGACAAGTAAAAGTGGGTTTTACTGTATATATTTTTAGTTGCTTAAATCTTTGTGGTTATTCCTCAAATAGTTTTCTACTGCATTTCACTTTAAATTCTCCATTTGAAAATAGCAAGGAAAGACAAATTAACACTGAATGAGAAAGATATTAAGGGGCTAAACTGTTGTTTTCTGCTATTGGCTCTTATGGGAAAGAAAATGTTATCAAATTTAGCTACAAGTGACATAAGCAACAGGCTTTACTTTACTTCTCTATAGTCTAGTTTCCAACTCTGGCAACAAGGGGCATGACCCCTAGATAAGTCCCCAGACTGAAAGGTATGCTTCATATCTTCCAGTTCAGGATGTTTAATAAACCATCTAAGATGAGAGAGTTCATTCTGGGGTGGATACACCTAACACCTGTTTTCCACGATGGCTCTAGATTCTGGACCATAGTTGGTCCAGAGCTTTTGGACTAACAATAAAAATAAAATTGCTGGCTGCATTTGACCCACCCTTTGGCCTTGAAAGGTGGAAAATATTAGAGAGAGCTACCTATGAACTGACTCTGAAGTATTATTAAATGCAAAGAAAGCAAGTTAAAAAGTTTGAAATGTGGCAAAATATCCTGTGTACTAATTTAAGGCCAACTATTGAGTAACATGAAATACCATACCATATCAACTTACTAGGAGTCTCTTTTTGCCATAAATACTGGTGCTTTGTGTTTAGGTTTTGTTTTCCTTGTATGTGCACAACAGAGACAGGAACTATTTGAGCCAGACAACAGCAAGTCTTCAAAATATACTGACCTGAAGTTACTGTACATCTAAGAAGCATCTGTTATCTCCCCACAATGGACTCTTAATTCACTTGAAATATATGATTATGAATCCACTTAGAGGCTAGTAAAAATTTAAAAATCTCTTGGGTTATTCATATTCACATTTTAGAAAATTTACATTATATTGCAATTTTTTAAATGAGCCAAATGTCAAAAGGTAGAGCCATTAGTAATGGAAAGAGTAAAAAGTCTAAGATCAAAAAGTAATTCAAATGTGGGATTTGTAAGACGTTACTAATAATAATGGCTTTCCTATATGAAAAATAATCTTAAAATATGACAATTGGCAGTGAATTAGGACAAAATACTCAGGTAAACATAACTGAACACAAATGGTTCCAAAGCTAGTTTCTATTTTATACTGGCTTAATGAATACTGGTACTATATAAAAGCAGAAACTTTTATACTATCTAAAAGTAGGCACTAAAATAAAAAGAGTCATCTAAGGCAGGGCTACACATAAATTTCTATAATAAATCCATGTCCTGGAATCCTACTGAAAAGCTTGATGGAAACGTGGGAGGGTGGTGCTTGTGCTTAAACTACTGGTGAAAGCTGCTGACAGTGAGTGAAGAGACCCAAGACTTATAGTGTTTGCAGGATCCTGAAGATCCTGTGTCTGTGAGGGGAGCTGAGACATAGAAGAATGTGCTTCTTCTTGGGAATAGCTCATTCCAAGGCTCCCCACTGATATAGGATTATAGGGAGGACCATTTAATGGTATGAAATTAAACAACTGAGAAAAATCCAATGCTGGTGTGTTTAGAGGGTCACTGATAGAAATAGAGCTTTTGGACAGGGAGAGGTCCCCTGCACCATCATCAAGCGACCCCATCTGAGAATCTAACCCTAGTTTAGATGACGACGCTTGAGAATCCTGGGATGAAGAGGGCACGCCCCCTTGTAGCTCCATCAGATAACTCTCAATTTCTCCCTTTAATGGCTGTTCTTTTTCAGGAATGGAAATTGCATATGAGGTAGAACTGAATGGGTATTTGAAGGAAAGGTGGTGAGAAGGATGAACAGCATCCATGTCTATTGGGCACGTCATTCCCAAAGGTAAAGTTGTGATCATTTGGTGGGCAGATCCGGAGCTCTGCATGGACTGAAATGGAGTGTTATAGAGGTTTAACTGCAAAGTGTTTGTGAATGGCTTTGACAACAGTTCACTGGAAGGTAAGGACATCACTGGAAGGAGCTCATCTTTTATAGGCACAGAAACATTACAGGTAAATGGATCCAGAAAATCCACTGGTTCTGTTTTGACCTTTAGAAGTTCTTGATTGTGACTCTTCTTCATATGTCGAGTCAGGTGATCCTTTCGGCCAAATCTCTGTGCACAGTACTGACAGAGGAAGTCCTTTCTTCCAGTGTGCACCACCATGTGTCTACGGACGTCTTTCCGGGTGTAGAACCGGCGGTCACAATGCTCGCACTGGTGCTTTTTCTCTTTAATCCCACCAGATGACTTGCCTGCATGAGATTTAAGGTGCTCCAGCAGCACTCCTGTGCTTTCAAAAGTCTGCAAACAGACCTTGCAAGTGAGGTCACCACTTGTTGCAGCATGCAAGGCCAAGTGACGTTTGAACCCAAGCTTGGTGTTGTAATTCTTGCCACACTCTTCACACTTAAATGTCTCTTTGTTAGGGTCATGTGTATGTAGGTGATTCTTCAGGTGATCTTTTCGGTGAAACATTTTCTCACAATAATTACACTTGTGAGTTTTCTCAGGAGAATGAGTAGCCATGTGCCTTTAAACATAGACATATTCTGTAAGTATCATGACAAAAATGGCATGTATTCACTTTTCAAATGGAAGCTAAACTACTATGCTAAAACAGAATTTCCCTACTAATGGACACTTTTAAATTTAATCTATACTACAAGGATAGTTAATATACCTAAATACTGTAGAACTTGAGTCATTTAAGTTGCCACTTGAATTTTCACTGGCTGGTTTTCAGCTATTATTACAAAATCAAATGAGCAAGACTGAATATACTCACGTAAATGTCCATACCTTTTCTTGTAATTTCTTTGTACAAATGGAAATTCTACTCTCATTAAACATTTCATTTTTAAAAATCCAAAGACACTAACACATAAAAATATGTGATTTAGAATACTAAAACTAGCCAATGTCTAATCTACTTAACATTTCCTTTCTGCAAATCAGCTAAAAAATGTGTATACAAATATATACGCTTACAATGGCTTCACACAGCCAACATCATAGCAAATATAATCTGAAAGACAAATAGAGTTTAATACCTTTGTAATTTGTACTTAGAAACAAAGGCTTTGGTGCAGTCTTGTTGTATGCACTTGTAGGGCCTCTCTCCTGTGTGAGAGTAGGAGTGAACCTTTAATTTCTCAATACTGTTAAAGGCCTTGTCACACAGTTGGCAAGGAAAGTTTTTTCTTGGTTTGGTTTCACCACGCTTACGTTTCCCTGAAGGGACTTTCTGGGTATCTCTTACTTCTGACAAATCACCAGGAATGACAGTGGCCATCGCAGCCTAAACCAGGCCTTCTTGTTGGACACTTGGGAACTGCCCAACTCCACTAAATGATTTAGCTTTAGGTGGCTTCTCAAGTTTCATGTGGTCGTAAAAGAAAGCAAAAAGGGACTGGAAAAAAAAATAAGAAACAACTAGTTTGTAACTAAATTTAATTTTTAAAAATTTTATTTGCTATGTGATGCTTTTGAATTAAAAAGAAACCATAAAATGGATTCAGCTGGTCTAATGTAATATCTGTAGGTTTCTTTATATTTGTCAAAATACATATTAATGCATTGCTCAGAATGAACAGTTCACACATCTCTTGAAATTCCACCTGACAAATGTTGTACTTAGGAAAAGCAGTAGCGATTTCAGAAGCGCTCAGGAAACATCAAAACATGACACTAAAAAAAGTAAAAACAAACAAAAACTTCAGATCTTTTAGCCAATAATTCTCATTTTAGAAATGAACTTTAGGGAAATATACAGTCTCAGAAAAGATTTATTTATAAAGATCATCATTACACCATTATTTATACTACAAACTGCTAGAAACAACCCAAATATCCAAAAATAAAAAAAAAATGTGTAACAAACTATGAGACTTTCATGTAATAGAACAGGATACAACTATTACAAATGTTATGTTTAAAAAGCAAGATATAAAATACATACAGTATAATTACTTTCTTGTAAAAAAAAATATCCATATGCCTTAAAAACCAACTAGAAGAATCTGTATCAAAATGTTAAGTGTTGTTGGCTCTGAATATTGAAGTTATGGATTATATGTATTTTCTTCTTTGTAACTTTCCATGTTTTCCAAATTATCTATTATGCATATGTGCCCTTTTATAAAATTATATTTTTAATAAAAGAATTTTTCATAAGTTATGAAAATAAAATACTATATAATAAAAAATTACACAAATCTACAAGGCACTCAAGTGTTTTTCCAATGGGACATGGTTCTAACAGACCCCTGCATTGGTGGTATTTATAGTTTTTCTTTGTTTTTAGTGTCTCATTTGTGATTTTATGCCATCACAGAATAAACAGAACTGTGAATTGTGAAAAAAGAGAACCCAAAACATAACACTAAAAGTGGCATTATTAGGCTTCAAATCTTACAAGAGACAGATGGAAAGAGACTAGAGAACATAAATCTGACTGAGAACATAAAAATGTTTCCACAAATATTTTAATGTCTAAAAATCATTTTAATTTGTGTAAGTCACACTCTTTGTTACAGGAAAATAAAATATAAGTAAGCAACTGAAAACTCTTTTAGGCACTTTGTGAACCACTCAGTCCATGGAAGACATAGTTAATGCACAGACATCAGGGCCTGAAAGAGTTGAATGGGTCACTCAGAGTGAAAATATCATCTTTACATCAGTGTCATCACACCTAGAGCAATTTCTGAGTCAAGAGTAGAAATGACTAATCTTCATAACAAATATGCATTCTTGAAATGGTAAAGCCTTCTGATGTTACATATTAGGTGAGGATCATGGCTCCTTGTCATTTGGAGGAAAGAAGGATTTGGTTGAAGTAATTTTCCTCACCGTTTTTCATTTTTCGCATCATAGAAAATGATTCTGTTCATTGGGCAGACTGAGGTTAGTGGACGAACCAGAGTTATCAGGCCTCCCCAAGAGCTGAGCGGTCAGTCTTTGACACACCTGTAACCTGTGTGCAGCACACCGGTGGGACTTTTGGCTTAGAGCACGGTACCTATGCAAGGATACATCATTATGGAGGTGTTTCAGGTTGTAAAAACATGTGTCAGAGTTTCACTTCATTACTGATGCGTTGAGAAAGAAATGAACATATTGTAGGAAACAGAGTATGTCTATTTAAACAAAATTTTTAAACTGATGGAAAGCTTTGAAAATTTGTGGACAAGATCAATATTATCAACCGTATTTTTCAGAGTAAGAAACGAACCCCCAAACATTCAACTGACATAAAAGAGTTAAATGATTCCTCAAGGTTCACAAATACTAGTATAGCAATATACTTTTAAGAGACACAGAAATAATACCTACAAACTTTTAAAAAGATCTGATTTTTAAACTGAAAACTGAATGTGGCTAAATAACTGTTATCAACTACTAATCAACTAGATTTTTTATCCTATTATACATTAAGAAACAAATAAAGAAAATCAATTTCTTTGTCTCACTTGTCTTTGGCATGAGACTGACACTTCACAAGCTAGAGGTATGACACTGACTTTCCCAGATTCCAGTTATATATTTGAAGAGACTTTAAATTGAACCTACACTTTTGTAAAACTAAGTGTATATTACAATATGCCCTACTGAATTTTAACATAGAGGTGTCACTAAACAGGCAAAATAGAGTAATTATCCACTTATGTGATTATAATGTAAAGCATATGGGTAAGTTAACCAGTTAACCAGTGTTTGGTTCGTGTGTCTTTTCTTCATTGGTAGGTGGACACAGGCAAGGCCTTCCTTTATGTTGTTTAGGTTGCCTAAGTCTCCCCTGCAGTTTAAAAGTGACATAAACACAAAAATGCAACTGACATTACTAATGTTAACTCAGTATGTGCCCTCTGCTTTAAGATCAAGTTTGGAATCCAGGAACTTGGTCTTTGCTGGTATAATTTCATTCAGCAGACACCTCTCTCAGAAATATTTAAACAGTGATTCTGCTGTAACCAGCAATGACACCGTAAATTGGTATAAAGCACTCTTACAAGGCAGATAAAAAAGCAATTTCAACTGTTTGATTTCCTAACATGATGCTTTTGTACACCTATTTACAACATTGTAGGAAACAAACTTACACATTTTTCAACTGTAAAACCAACACAAGAATGCAAAGAATCTAAATCCCTGTATATAACTGATATCTGAAAATATTTCAAAGACTGGTCATATTTCATATTGTGTTATGAGATCCCACCATAATGGGCAGAGAATTCCAGCTGAGAAAAATGGTAACTTCTAAGTTATTGAAAAAATTATAAAAAGTATACCATGAAACAATATACAAACATTTGATTATATAAAAATTGGTGATACTCAATATGGAGTAACAAGTGGATTCTGTTATCTTTGGATGTACATACTGAGCAATGAAGAATCGCAGATTTCAAATATTACACTTTTCTAAGACCAGCTGAAATTTTTTCATGGCAAATATCTTTTTATCTCAATATATTACAAAACTCAAATTAGTTATTGGTGCATTTAAACTACAAGATAAATATAAGGTTGTGAGCTCAACATTGAATAAAAGTCTACATTCATAACATGCATATCAATCAAATACTATAAAGACACATGCACAGAACTGTAGTGAATTCTGATCAATGCACACCTGATGACAGATGGAAAAAGCCTCAGACCTTGACCTTAGCCAGTCCCACTGACTCTTCGTGGAAGAGAACGGAATCCAGTCCTTCCCATTTTGGCCAATCTATGAAACAAAAAATAAGAATGGACTACAGTCTAAATGGAACCAGTATGTAAATGTTGGAAAATAAAGAATCAAAGAATTGCAATTTCATGGCACATGCTGACATTCCATACTCTGCTGACAAGTCATGCATTAATTTTCACCAATTGCAAATTTATTAGTTCTAAGCACATTTACATGATGAAATAAATGCAAGAACAAAAAGTGAAATAGTATTACCTATATAAATGGTATTTTGTGATGCTGAATGACTCCCCACTTTTTCCCAAATTTAACTTTTTAAATCTAACTTGCCTACTCAGAGAAATAGATATTAGAGTTACTATTTGTAAATCAAATAAATAAAAATTTCATTAAGCTTAATATTATGGAAGAAACAAACTCAGCTCTCTCTTAGAGTGCATGTGGAACGTTACCAAAGGACAGCAGCCTCCTGATATCAGCACCTTGCATGCCCACGCTGCACACGCTTATGCAACTTGGGCTCATTACCTGCAATGCCTGCCAATTTATCTCTCAGAATGCTGCAAGGATTGCTGGAATGTAGCAATAACTCTGTGCTTTTTAGATTTCAAAGCACACAAGGAAAGTTAAAAATATAGGTTTGCTATAGGAAAAAGGGGTGTCAGAAAAAAGTCATTTGGTTTTGAGAGGTCATTATTGAAAAAAATCTTAAAATGTTTTAAAAATGCTTATTAGTAGCATGATCTTCAGAAGACTAAGACCATGTATAGAAAAAAAACCTGTTACTAATTTTTTGACTGTGCAAGTAAATGTGAAAGGAATAATGGTCAAAGGCAGAATAGACTAGAATCATCTATTATAGACAGTACAGGGCACAGAGAGCTTACTAAACAGTATCTTTTGAGATGAGCATTCAGAATCATGATTGTAAGAACTTGAGGGGGATAATATAAATCAAATAAGTAAAATAAGAAAAGGATTTGCCAATGACAGAATAAACGAAAATAATTTAATCTTCTAAACACAAATCTAATTTCTCCTGAAATTAAATTTTTTCTTTTAAGAATTTGATGATGTGTAAATAAAATATTTAATAGAGGACATTCAAGCATCATTACAAAAATACTAAGGGTATATTTGAAAGCAGCATTATTCTCATAGTTTAAAAGATAAGAAAAATAAAAATTTAGGCTGATAAAAGATATTTTTGAAGTTAAAGAAAAAGTTCCATTCTTTTGTAAAGCACAGGACATGCATAAATGGAAGAGCTGAATTCTGCACATTAAAACTGCAAAATAATAAATTAATTTTGTAAATACTTACTTGCCCAGGGTACATACTGAGTTTTTGGTAGGGTAATTAAGAATGACTCTGTTTTGTGTATTCTGATACTTTAATAATACAAATACCTTAAAAGTGTGGAGCGTTTCCATCTCTATTACCTCCCTGGAATTCAATGGATCTGACAGGTGGACGCATTTATCATCACTGCCATTTTAAGGTGAGAGGACCAGAGAAGCTGAACATCTTGATAGTGTATATGTGGTCAAGCATACTCATATGGTTAAAAGGGGCTTATGCCCTAAAACTCCTATTTCACTCTTACGCTACTGCATTCTAGAAGGGAAGTTCGGCAAACCAATTTGCAAGCAGATAAATCCTGTAGCATTACACTTAAACAACAACAATGGGGGGAGTACCTATTTTTTCTATCAGAGCTATCAAAGGGGAATACATTGAAGATTTAAAAAGCTTCTTTAATAAAGACAGTTTGCAAAGTTAATTTTAAATAATTTACTAAATAGTTAAAATAGTAACTAGTATGATTGTCTAATGGAGGAAAGATTTGGGGTAGGAAAAATCTAAAACCAAAGTTGACTAGTAAACAAATTATATGTATTTTTTCTTCTTTTCCTGACCAGTATAAATTTTATAGCATTTCAAATACAATCATAAAAATTTTATTTATGCTTAATGCTCATTGGCATTTATAAAAATGTTTTAGTGTCAAAGTATTTTAATATAGTTTAAAATTATGCATCTTGATTTGAAATATTATAAGTTCAAATTACTCCTGTTACATATTTTACAGTCTGAAATAAAATTATGAATAAAGTCATCATTTTCATTCATTTTGTCACAAAAAATCATTCTAATATCACTGTTATTTCCTTAAATTCTACCTAACTATTTTGAGTTCTTATGAGTGGCCAGATAATTTCAAAGGACTGCTAATTATTTTCCCAAACAAAAGAAACCAGGAGCTGGTTGGAGTTCATTATTATTTGGCCTGGTATAATAAACAAGAAAAATACAGTTTGCATTTATGTAATCTTATAACTAAAAGTCTACTAAAATTATTTGTATGTTCTTTTATATGATAAGAAAAACCTGAAAGGCAAATAGTGACTACTATTCTGAAAAGTCTGCAACATTCATACTCCTGTTTTTCTTTTTTTACATATCTAACATTAGTTAGTATGCTGTTCAAATGTTTCAGGTGCTTCTTTAAGTTATGAGACAAGCTAGAAATTGTACATATAACCATTTCAAATTGTCCTACGATGAAACAGCACTTCAGAATACCCTTCTAGCTTTTGAGATACCAGCATGGACATTTTTTTCCTATGACAACTTTGCACATATAAAAATAATAATTAAGAGAGATATTGTGTGTGCACAGGTTATCTCCCATGTTTTACATTTTAAAACAGTGACTCACAGAAAAATAACAAGCAAAAACGAATCCTACATCAATGGTCTACTAAAATGAATTCACTCCTATGAGGATGCTGGCAAGGGCACCAACCTGTACTGAAACTGTTTCTACACTTAAAATGCCACAGTTCTGATAGTCATTTCTCTACCAGCGGTGATTTTTTACAACACTTACCTTCATCAATAGTTCTTTCATATTTAAGTTAAAAGTCAAACATATACTTTGCTAATTAAGGGCAAATGTTATTCATAATGAAAGCTTTATTCTCCTTTATGCTAATCATAAAACACCATTAGTTAACAATTCAGAAAATGTCAACGTTTGCTTGAAACATGTTTTTCATATTGCAAAAGAAAACCTACCAGTAGTTACTACTTTAAGTTACATATATAAGACACAATAGAGGTCTGATTTGTGTGAGAGAAATTATTAACAAGATAACATAATTGAAGACAGTCAACTTTAAAGTAAGGGCAGCAGCATACTTAGAATATTTTTTGATCCTGTATGACAATGTGGAAATTTTTACAGCATTCAATTTCTGTAGAATTGTAAAATCACTTAATAAAGAATAATAAAAGGAAAAATATCCTGCCACCATAAAAAATCTTAGGATTAAAAATAGACTGTAGGCAGCATTAGGGCAGGATGTGTCAGATTCATTCACTGCTGTTCTCCATAAAAGTAAAAGTTTTGGTGCCCGAATGCAAAAAATTAAAGGAGGGCAAGTGCTTTCGAGCAAGAAAATGGACTATAGCCTTGCTCAATCACGATAGTAGAAATAAGACAGAATATACATATCTACGTTCAGGTAAAAAAAATAATACAGTATGGATGCAATTTGGTTCACCAAATTAAAGGCCACTAGAAAGGTATTTTTGAAACTTAGCTTTGTAAAGTCTTAGATGAAAACAATAGTAATTGTAATAAAAGCTGTCTAATGCCTGTTTCAGAAAACAAGCCTTCTCTGATTGATATCGTTGCTAAGATATCAATTAATCCAAGCAGATAATATCAACTTGGTTCCCATTCCTAATAGAAATTTCTCAAGTGAAAACATGCCTGGCATCTGCACCCATCCTTGGCATGGAGCATGAAAGATGGTTAGATGGGGCTGCTGATGCCTCAAGAAGAGAAGAGCAAGAAGCAGGAGTGCCCGCTGCAAAGCAGGAGACATGGCAAAGAGCTGGGTCTGCACCTGATCTGCTGAGGTTGTAAGTAGGTACCCAAATCACTCATTTCATACCTGAAATACTGAAAATTCAGCACTTGGCTACCTATAGATGTCATAGTTAACTAAAATTAATTAAGAACAAGAATGCCTTCTTTGAATTATTGTATTTGATATTTTCAACTTCTGAGCAATTCATTAAAATGCAGTCCTTTTGCAGTCCAAATGCAATTCTTTTGAAATTAACCATTAACATTTAGCCGTAACTGATATTTATAAAGCCTCACATTTAATATACAAATAAGAAGCAAACAGAAAAGTGAAGGAAAATAGCAGAACTATTTGAAAACCCAATAGGAAAAAAGGCAATCAATTCCAAAGCAGAACCAACAAAATCTGTCAGTTCTGTTATCTGTACAATTAGGATGTTCCTTTTTGGGTCACTTTCAACCTGGGTATGGCTGTTTATTTTGTTTTTTAGAGTACTGAGAGAGAATGAATAGACACTGATGATGAGAGAATACTCAAATACGTTTTATCTTCCAATTCAGAAATATTCTCCTTGATTAATTACTTTATATAGCAAAACTCTTCAGGTTAAAAAGTTTTCTTCTTTTTTAGAGACTCATAACTTAGAGTCATAACTCTGAGTCTAATGACTCATAACTTAGAAGTCAGCATTCCATTTTAACTACTACATGGGGGGATTCCCCCCCTTTGGTTGCATATTCTTATCAAAATATAAAACTAAAAAATACAGATGAGCAGTACACCAGTGTGTTTTCACTTTCTACACAGAGCATAGTTAGTATTTGCAAACAGGAATGAAAGAGGAATTGTGCAAAAGGAAAGCAATAATGCCTAAGAGAGCAATAAATCACAATAACATCTGAATACAAAGTAAGATTGCTTAATAAAAATTTAAACCATTTTTAGAGGTTTTCCTGGTTTTGTCTGGCTTTTTTTGGTATTAAGCATTTCCAAAATATTAGTGCTCTGGCTAGGATTATAAAGTAGGTAGCTTACACGTCAGCTCAATCTGAAAATTGCAGTTTCCAAATTTTAAAAATTTGTTCTTATTTCTGGTACCACTAACCCATTCCATCCCTAGGGCTATAGCAAAAATGCTTGACAACAAATATAAATATGTTCACACTGAAGACCCTAAACATTTAGAGGACATGCCTCCATTAATTTATGCTTAACTGTCTAATGCTATTAAAATTACAAATACACTCCTGGCCAGGTAGCTCTGTTGGTTACAGCATCACCCTGATATACCAAGATCGTGGGTTCAATTCCTCGTCAGGACACATACAAGAATCAACCAATGAATGTATAATTAAGTGGGAACAACAAATTGATGTTTCTCTCTCCCTTTCTTTCTCTAAAATCAATCAATAAAAAAATTTTTAATTACAAACATAGTATAATCCAGGTTTCATGTTTGAACTCTCCAAGCACTCATACTGAATCTGTCTATAAATTTAAATGAAAAGGCAGAAATAATAATCCTTTAATTATTATTATTAATAATAACTTTATTAATAATAAAGTTATAAACTTTAAGGCAAGAAGGATTACCTTAATTATAAAAGTTCATGCAGAGAATTAGTTTTAACCCATCTCAAAGTAAACTCCACTTTAAATAGGCTTGTGCAATGGTATACAATGAGGTATAAATGTTGTTAAGTATGTGTGCGAAATCTTGAGTAGCACTAAACAACCTAATGAAAACTGAACCCACACCCAGGTAAGGCTTCATACATGGCTATGACTCCGTCCTCCCTAAGTCATGCTCATGTGGCTGCCCAGGGCAAAACTGCTGTGGAAACAACTGCTTCTCTTTATTCCCATGTAATTCAAGGTAAATAGGGTCAGTTCTAGGCAAAACTGTCAATTCGGGGTTGGCTACACTCTCCTCCACATACAGAGGACCCATGCACTCCTCCAGCAATCAGAAGAGACTCAATAGTCAAAATCCTTGCCCAATTTTACTTGAGCAAGAATGAACTTCAGAACTTTACCTTTCTAAGACTCTTACCCCTAAAATACAGACTGTAAAGCTCTTCTTGAAATTCTCTTGCCTATCCTGCAGGACCACAAATTCAACTACAGGGAAACTATTATTCATCCTCGTATTCCCAGCTCCTGGTCAGGGCCCTAGCACACAGTAGATATGTGATAAATATCTGATGTACATAACTATAGTGCCTTTAAAAATTTTCAGGAATCAAAACAGGCAGGTAAACATGTTTTGGGGTTCCTGGAATCTCAAAGTGATTTGATACAAGCTCAGAAGATAAACCCCACAGAATGAAACTGTTAGTTTGCTCTGACAGAGGGGTGGAAACTCAGGGCAGCACCCCAGGCAACTTGGAGTCTGTCTGGTTTCTGTCAGTGGGTGTCAAAAACTAGGGAAACAGGCACATGCTATTCAGAGGCCTACAGGAGTCCTGATGGGCACAGAGACACTCCTGGGCAGCATTTAGTTGGCCTGCATTTTTCAGAACATTTGTGTTTTCAAATGTTCTTCTCCATGGCTCCTTAAGCCATGTCACCTGTTTCATGCCATCACTGATAATGATTTACCATTTGGAAATAGCCAATGAAGTTTTATGGGAAGGAAAAAGGAACAAAGTAAAATTCAAAATCTTTAAAGAGGATGTTCTTCATGTTAAATTAAAATGTGAGGAGGATTTTGAAAATATCAGAGAAAATCTTTGACTGATTACAGATACAAGAGAGTTCAAAAGAGAAAAGCTATGTAAAAGTAGTTGAAAGCTAAGTAAAAGCAATGAAAAAAATTTTTCTTTTCCTAGCTGCCAAAAAAAGAGCATTGTTAAAAAACAAGTTTAAAAAGTATAATGAAGTAGAAAAAGAAAAAAAAAACTATATAACCTGTAACACGAAAAAACCATGAACATCTTTTCATGTAATTAAAAAATATTTGCAATATAAAAATGACTAAAAAATTTATGCTAACTTGATTTTATCTCCATAGAATGCTGTGATTAGAGTTTTAACCACATTAATTAATGTACTTTTTATTTGATTATAAAGCTCTGTCCATGTAGACTGAAGCTCTTGGTTATATCTTCCTTTCCCCAGGCCTCGGCCCTGCCTGCTGCCGGTAGAGTTGGAGCCCATCCTCCGGCACTTGGCACAGCCATCTTTGTTTGTACCAGTCTTCCCATCCTAGGGCTGAGGGTGCTGGCCTCTAAACCTCAATCCTATGTCTAAGTTCCTGCTGAAAGACTTACCTGAAATGAAATCCATGTATACCTGATTTCCAAGTATTGCTACACCTTGATTCTGTGCCACTGAGTTGCACCTACAGGTTGGGAAATCTAGATGCCTGTGTACTGTGCTCTTTCCAGCAAGGGCTAACAAACTGCTGTTGACCCACAGAGTTCTTTGTTCTAGTACCTGCCCCATCCCAGCAAGCAGAGCTAGTCTCCTTCCCCACCTGCTTAGAGTTAAACAGATCTTTCCCAGTAGATGGAAAGAGATACAATGGTAACATGGGGTAGTTAGTCTATTACTCTGAGCGGGGCTCCAAGAAAGGAAAACTTAAGAGTTCATCTGTGGACTATTAGGGGACATGAATACGTAAGCTCTTACAGCAGCTATGCATTTTGTGCAGAGTAAGGAAGACCGCTCCTTGTCAGTATTCCAATCCTTCCATTACTGTAACTATTAACGAAGTCCTACTGAACACAATGTATATTGACAGACCTTAAAATAGTAAGTGGCATGCTTATTATGTGGCATGCTTTTCAAAGCTTTTAATCTTATATTATTTAGAAACTGGAGTGATTGATCACTTTGAAAGCCATGCCATATAATGATAAAAGCCACCTACCTGAGCCCCTGCTCCAAACTCTAGCAAGGTAAATTTATTAATAGACCATGATAGAATGAAGCATTCTGGGTGCCAAATACGGCCAATGCAGCACCAAGAGGCAACCTAAAAAGAAAAGAAGAGTTAGTTTGAAATTCCAAAAGTCAGACCCAACCTGGTCAATGGTATATGAACCAAACTGTTTTTTTTTATTCATTATCATTTATTAATACTCTTTACATTTTATCTTTATTGGGAAATCTATCTCAAATCTCATTAGAAACAAAGGTGAAACAAAATATTTATAGTACATACATTGAAAAATGAAAAGTAAACAAATCAATATCCCTAGGTTCATGTATTTCCCCCTGAAACACAATTAAGTTATGTAAATTGTTCATATTTTTATTTGATAAAATATTAATCCAAGTTTACTGCTATTTCACATCATTGTTGTTATTCATTTATATTCTAGAAACATTCCTATTTTCTCTGTAACACATTTTTCAGAAAAAACCTTTTGAGTTGTAGATTCTCGGTCCCAACAACAGCTGAGGGAGAAACCCTGCCTGAGTAGTAGTCCCTCAAGCCCTCTGTTCCCAGGGAAGGGCACAGTTTGTTGAGTGCCCTAATGTAGAAACACATAAGGACATGGACAACTGCTCAGCTCTGGAGTTACTCTTTATGAGGAGACTATTGCTGTTTCAAAGTGAATTCACAGGTGGCAAATCCATCTTCAACCCCCACACAAAAAACAAAAATGTATTCTGAAGTACTCAAAGTTTGGGATTATCCTCAGCTCTTTTCTGTTGGTACAGGTAGTGAAGACCTACCTCTAGGGCAATAACCAAGAGAGGGAAGGGGTGCCAGGCATCCAACACAGAAATCATCTGCTTCATTTCCCAAGGCCAGTGAGTCAGTGCTCAATTATACATGGCTATCACTTTACTAAGATAAATAGCTGACAGTAATGTAATAAATATTACCATCCCTATTATATACGGCACCAATCTGAATCACTGGAGATGTAAATAGACACAGTCTCTCTTCTCTAGGTGCATATAAGCTAGTTGCAGCTGCAGGACATACACCTAGTTTCAAGTCAAGCAATATGATTGTTACATAAAATATAAGCTGTCATAAGAAGGTAATAGACCAACAAATCAATAGCAAAAACATATTATATGGTATAAACAACTACAATAGAAGGTCAGAAGAAGAAAAGAATATTATGGATCTTTGGTGACTTCTTCCTTGAAGAATATACAATGAAGTAAGGGGGGAAGAGGGATGTGGAGGACATGCCAGTGAATCTTCGAAACTGGTATGTTAACACTGCAAATTACTATAGATTCTAAGATGACTCTCTGGCTGGAGTGTAGCACAGATTATAGCCATTGTAAGGATTCAAATGAGAAAGGTGCACCAAAGTCCAAATGTCCTAAACATTTACTAATGATGAGAAGTAGGGCAATTGTGAAACACTGCATGGGTCAAAAGCACCAAGAACAAGTACTTGGGGAGGAGGGAAAGTGAGAAAGAGGGGAAGGGAGGAGGGTACAGGGAGTGTTTGTTCAAATGAGATAAAGGAGATGCGTGCTGGAGTAGTCCAAGGTGTTAGAACGTACTCGGATATGGACCTAAGCTACCACCTATGCTGGAACAAAGAAGGTATATGCCACCACCTAAATACCTGACTATTAATTCCCCCTGCTAGAAACGGTTGAATCCTCACTGCGTCCTCTGCTCTCCCTCGAGCTTTCTACAAAATCAGCCCTCTCTGATCAGATACCCAGTACACCTGGAACAGATCAGCAGGGTGACTCACACTCCCCCGGGGGTCTGGTACAAAGTTTAAAAGCCCTTCTACCCTTTCCCTTGGGGCTGTGGTCAGTTTGGACCCAGGCTGCCTGATAGCAGTGTACTAGCTCAAATAAAAGCCCTTAATTGGACTGTTCTGGTTCCAGGTCCTTTCTTAGCCCAAACCCAGCAAAAACAAGCACTTCCTAGAAGAAAGACCACTGATATGCCTGACAGTATTAACAGAGAAGATAAGAGGAAGGTAGACAAAGACAGTTGTATAGCTTATTCAAACCAAATTACTGGCAAACTCATGTTGGAGCCTAAGGACCACCACTATAAAAAGAAACCACATAATTTAAAGGGCAGAGGGACAGAGACAGAGCTTCAAGGAGAAGAAAAAGGTGGCAAAATCCACAAGCTAAAACTGTTAAGAGTTATAAAACCACCCTGCAATTCTTGCACAGAATTCACCACTTAGGCATGAAGACACCAAACTTCAGCAAGAAAGAACATGGTACATAGAATGGTTAGGAGTGAGAGAATGAGAGGTGAGAAGGGGAAATACCTAAATGAGGATGTTAGTTGAGACACAGGGGAACGACTTCCAGCAAGAGGATGCTTTCTTCTTTCAAAGAACTTTGTACTGAAAGAGAAGAAGAAAGGTAGGGTGGTGACTAAAAGGGAACTCAGGATGCCAGGCAGGAAAGACAAGTGAACACTTCTGTGCTGAGAACAGAGAGGCAGAGAATAAAATGGAGCATTCTGGAAGATAAGGCAAAATGGGAGAAAAGAAAGAAGTTTTCATCTTGCATAAGAAAGGGTCTTCTTTATGATCTAGGAGTGATGTATATTCATCCTGGTAAGATTTTGGTAAAAGAGGCAAGGGATGCAAGGAGTTTGCTTAATTTCATCAGTGCCAAGTAAAAAGGTCATGTCTGGTAAGGATACAGAAGGAACAAGGCACTTGGCCTGGCAACAGGAGGGAAGACTGGAAGACTGTGTGGAGAACAAGAGGGATGTCCCCAGGGCATCCTGGAGGGTTTTACAAAAACTAAACTTGCATAAAAAATTAAATTTCTTAGTTATTCCTGATGGGAGTATAAACTGTAAAAACTTTTCTGGAATACACTGTAAACATAATATAATAAAAGCCTTTAAATGTTCATTTATGTTGATGTGATAATTCATTTCTAAAAATTTAAGCCAAAAGAGAATGAGAAACGAAGATCTACGTATAAATGTGTTCAAAGTATATTTTGATAATAAAGTTGACAATTTCTAAGGAGTAAAGTATATTAACTATGTAGCCATTACAAACAATGCATTTTATTAAATCACATGGGAAAACACTGATATAATTTTAAGTTTAAATGTAGAACACAGAATATACCATGATTCTACATACTTAGAACTATCCTTCCCCCACCAATACAATTAAATGTACCTAAGTTATAAATAAAAAATTAGCAAGATATAGGCTTTGTATTCATTTATATTTTATAAATGTCTTAGCTTTATAATTATAAAAAATAGTTTACCAAAAAGACTAGTTTTTCAATAAACAGTTCTACAAAAGTTTGTTGTCCATAAAGAACAAAAAGGAACTTGGATTCATATTTCTCACCATATACAAACTTAACACTAAGTGAATCACAGACACAAATGTAAAACCTAAAACCATAAAAATTCTAGAAGAAAACAGTCAAAATTCTTGAGACACTGAGTTAGTCAAAAAAATTCCTTGTACAACCCATAAAACAAAAAACTGATAAACTGAATTTCATTAAAATTTAAAACTGCTCTTAAAAAAACAATGTTAATGGAATGAAAAAAAAAAAACAACTCACAAGCCACTAGAAGACCTTTGCAAGGTTTATACTTGATACAGAATTTGTAACCAGAAAACATAAAGAACTTCCAAAACTCAACAATAAGAAAACCCAATAAAACATAGGCAAAATATTTGAGTAGACATCTCAAGATAAATGGATGGCAAATAAGCACATGGAAAGATGCTCAATATCATTGCTCATCAGAGAAATGTAAATCAATACAACAATAAGACACCACTATCTACCCACTAGAATGACTAAAATTAAAAAACTATCTGGCTGTATGAAGTGCTAGTGAAGATGTGAAGCTAATAAAATCATATACCACTGAGAAGATAAAAATGGTACAATCACTTTAGAAAGCAGTTTATTAGTTTTTTTAACAAGTTAAACATGGCCTACAGTACGACACAGCTATTTCATATCTATTACTTACCCAAGAGATATGAAAACCTCACTATAAAGACTTGTACATGAATACCCATAGCAGCTTTATTTGCAATAGTCAAAAACTAGGTACAACCCAAATGTCCGTCAATGTGTAAATGGATCAACAAATTGTAGTAGAATCATGTAATAAACTAGCTAAAAAGGAATGAAATATTGGCACATGCAGTAAAAGATAAACCTTAAAATAATTATGCTCAATGAAAGAAGTCACACAAAAAGAGTACACGTTATACAATTCCACTTACATAAAATTCTAGGAAATGTAAACTAATCTGTAGTGATAGGAAGAAGCTCAGTGGTTATCTGGGCCTGGGGGAGGGATAACTCAAAAACATGAGCAAACTTTTGGGAATGAGAGGTATGTTTACTGTGATGTTTTGGGGATGTAGACAAATGTCGCAGCTTGGTAAATTGTACACTTCAAACATGCAGTTTGTAAAAAGGCAAAATTTTTATATTGAGAAAAATTTAAAATTAATAAAAATGGGGAACAAATTTTCGTAAGAATTTACTTACATTTGCAACACCCCTGCCAAAATCCTCCCCCCAAATCACTTCTGTGAACTGATAAACTAAAATCCTTTCTAAAGGCAACGACTCCAAATAACTAAAATCTGATTGAGGAATACTGGCTTAAGTGTAAGAGCCACATTCAATTCTTACTAGAAAAGATATGTGTCCAGGCAGTTTTTAGAGCCACATTCTCAGCTGTTGCCCTTAGAGGAAGCCAGTGCAGTTCACCTGTTGTTTTACAGACTGGCACATCATACTACATGATTTAAAGGCTCCAAGAATACACTCTAACTGGAACTGAGACCTACAAACAATAAATAGTTCTGGGATTAGTTCCATTTATCAAATACCACAGGAAGTACCCACTGAAGTGTCTTAAGTCAGCCTCTGTATAGACCCTGACTCTTAATTACAGACTCTGTAATTAAATATGTTAATTAGTGGTAGTCTTAAAAAGAAGTATTATGCTAATTGGTAGGCTGTCTCTGATCAATTTAAAACGAAAAACAAAATACCACTCCAGCCAAG